ATAGCAATAAAAAAAAATCCTCTAAAAAATTTCCAGGCTCTTGTGGCTTCACTGGTAAGCTTGACCAAATATTCACTAGAAAACCTTTGTAAACTCCCTGGTTTACTGGTTGTAGTAGACAGATGATGGCTCCCCAAGGATGTCCATGGCCTAGTTCCTGGAACCTGTGAATACGTTACCTTCCATGGAAAAAGGGGCTTTGTAGAAGTGTTAAAGTTGTCCTTGATATGGGGAGATTACCCTATTATCCAAGCAAGCCCAATGGAATCACATGAGTTCAGAAAAGCAAATAAACTTTTCTGACTGCAATCAGAGCAAAGTATGACTGCGGAAGGAGGATGAGAGAGATGTGACAGGAGAGGGACTCAGATAGGCTGTTGCTGGCTTTGAAAATGGAGGATGGGGTTTTCAAGCGAAAGGTATGAAAGCCTCTCGAAGCTGGTGATGATCCTCAGTTTACAGCCAGTAAGGAATTAGGAACCAAGGTACTAAAATCTCAAGGAGCTCAATTCTGTCAACAATCTAAATGAATAGGAAACAGACTCTCCCCTAGAGCCTTGAGATCAGAATGCCGCCCTGTGGCCACCTTGATTTGATTTCAGCCCAGTGAGACCTGTGCCAGATTTCTGACCTCTAGAACTGTAAGGAAATAAATTTGTGTTGTTTAAGTCACTGAGTTTGTGGTAATTTGTTACAGCAGCAATAGAAAACTAGCATGCTGGTATAACCATACCAAACCCTGGCGAGGACAGTAAATGAAAGAAAAATATCAGGCCAAGTTTATTCATAAACATAAATGTTATCCTATACAACATGTAAGGGAACTAAATCCAACAATATATAAAAAGAAAAATACATTATAACCAAATGTGCTTCTATCAAGAATGTGAGGTTGCCAGAAAATTAATCAATATAATTCACCACAATGAGAGATTTAAGGGAATGTATTATGTGATGTCCTTAGGAGATGCAAAACAGCACCTGACAAAATTCAACATCGATTTGTAGTTATTTATTTATTTATTATTTGTAATGATCACATCCATTTATATTTTTATTAATATATACAGACTCTAAGAAAATGAGACATGGAAGGAAACTTCCTAAGCTGGGTAAAAATTATCAATAAAACCATACAGCAAATATTCTACTTAATTGAATCATCCTGAAAATTTCCTTTGAAATTGGGAGCAAAACAAAGATGTCTGAGATCACCTCTTATATTTCACATTGTGGTGGAATCCCCAGCCAGTACAGGATTGTAATTTTTAATTATTGAAAAGGAAGAAACAAGTCATTATTATGAGCAGATGACATATTTGAGTATGTGGAAAATCCAAAAGAATGCTCAGATCAACTATTAGAATGTTAAGTAAAATTCAGCAAGTTCATTGCATAAAAAGTATAAAAATAAATTGTATTTCTATGTGTCAGGACCATACAAGTGTCTAGTAACATCATAAAAGACATGGGGAAAATCACAAAACTTTATTAAGAAACATTAAAGGCATACCATATTTATCAATTGGAAAATTCATTTTAAAGATGTTAATTTTCTCCAACTTGATTTATAGGTTCACAGTCATCCCAGTCAAAATCTCAATTGAGGATATTTTTGATGGAACTTGAAAAACTGATTCTAAAATTTATATAAAATACAAAAAGCCAATAACTGAAAAATCTTCATGCAAAAAAGTAGGAGGACCTGCTTTACCAGAAAAAAGGACACAATTTATTATAAAGCAATAATACAACAAATTATAACATTAGCATAGAAATAAAAAATAGACTATTGGAACAGAGTAGAGAATCCAGAAACAGACGATTCATATACGGTTAACTTGTGACAAAGTTAGCATAACAGGGCAGGGGGAAACAATGGTATTTTTGGTACACAGTGCTGAGGTAAATCAACATTTCATAAACAGAAAATTGCAATTTCATCCCTACCTCACACTATATACGAATACCAATTCCAGATGGATTGTTCACTTAAATGTGAAACCTTATATCCAGCTTGTAGGAGATAACATAGAAGAATATATTCATGCCCTCAGAACAGAAAGGAATTTTAAAGAAGGAAGACCCAACAAGCACTGACCATCAAGGATGTGCTACCTGGTAGTTTGTTGTCTGGTCCATTTCCTGTCCTCTGCTCTGTTCTATACAGGAGAGGCTGACCCCTGGAATCTGTGGAGTCCCTGCTCCCTTGCAGCTGGCATCTGGCTGGGTTGGGTTAACAGGATTCATTGGCTGGAGCTTGGTGGTAGGAGGAAGAAAGAAGCTTGTGAGGTGGCTCCTCTGGCAGTGACTTCATCTCCTCCCAGACAACTCCAGGTCATTCCCAGGTCCCAGCTCCCACCAGGTAGCCCACCTCATGGGTTCAGCTCCCACAGGTAGTATCACCTCCATTCTGGTCAATCAACTTCCTCCCTTTGTCCCTGCAGCCCTTGGGAATGACAGTCACTTCTGCTGTAGCTCCTCTCTGATTGCCTCAGCATCCCTTGTGTGGCTTCTCAGCAAGTCCAACACTTTTGTGATGAGTTCTCCATAGTCAGTTCTCTCTATTGAACCATGTGGTGGTTGTTCTTTTTCCCTTGTTTTTTGGGCTACCTGTTCTCCTGACTTTGAACATACAGGAAAAAAAAAATAAATTCAAGTTCCATTAAAACAAAGAATTTCTGTCCACCAAAACCAGTATATAGACGGGGAAAAGACTAAACATCTTTACTCAAATTATATAAACAGCCTGAAAAAAATTTTTTAGAACCTCTGACAAACCAACAGAAAATATGCAAATATCTGGCATCTGCAATCAATGAGATCTTTTGTAACCCAAGATTTTATCCTTTCCAGTAATAGGGAGACAGACCCATCTTCTCTCGTACTTTCTTCCCTGTTGTAGATATTGGCAGGCAAACAGTCTGTAGCTCCACATCAATTTTCTCTTTGTCCACAGCGTGCTTTTGCCATGTCACCTCGGGTGCTGCCACCTGGGGAGAGTATTCCTGGGGGCAGCTCACAAACTCGGACCTGGGCTTTGAAGTATGAATGATTTTCTAAACTTTAAAGAATATGAACGTTTTTCTTCATCAGAAATCTTTAGCCAAAAAGTAAAAAGGCATTTTCTTTTTCTAGACGCTTTGAAACGAATCTTTCAAAAGAATGGATATTTGACTTTTTATGATGTTTTTAAATGTTTCTCATCCTCAGATCGATCTATCTATCTATCTATCTATCTATCTATCTATCTATCTATCTACCTATCTATCTATCTACCTACCTACCTACCTAATCTGTGTGTGTGTCTGTGTGTGTGTGTGTGTGTAGAGAGAGAGAGCGAGAGAGAGAGAGTGAGAATAATTCTTTTTTAAACAGAGAAGATATTTTACTTAAATTTTTCTTTGAAAATACTACCCTTTTAAATGGGCTGCCAATAATCTATTAAATGTAATTAAGTGTAACATTTGCTCACTCTTGATAGTTAGGGTTGCTTAAAAATTGTTTAACATGACAAATGCTAAAATGTGTGTAACCCCCTAGTGACTGCATTTGTGCCTAAATCTTTGACAGGTTCCCAGGGATGCTGGTGCTCCTAGTTCAGGACCACTCTCTGAGAAACTGGGCCGCAGCAGGTCTAGGAGTGGAAAGGGCTCCTCTCCAGGGAAGCTGCAGCGCTCCTCTCATGCCCCCTTCACCCTGCCCACCCCTTTGTATAATGAATGTATAATAATTATGCTATTCTCAGTTACCCCGTTTGGGTGGGCCCCAGTACCTGCTGTGCCCGGCTTATCCTGTGCTTTTAACTCATTACATTTAAGACCTTATACAAATTGCCTTTTAAAACAAGAAAAACACAGATAAAATAAAAGCAAAAAGCTGGCCCTCCTAACTCCTAGTGACCAAGGTCAACAAGAAGGATCCAGACAACAGCATGACGCTGCTTTCTTCTTGAGAGAAATCAGACAGAAAAAAATCAACCCTACACTTGGGTCTGGCACTGCTCCTGACTCTACAGTCTGATCTATTTTTCGACACTGTGACACTTGGACAAAATTAGAACGCTAAGGCATTCTCCACACCATTTCAACCCAGGCCTTTTCAAGGACTGGTTTTGGGAGACAGGCAGGCCTAGCCTCCCTCAGAGACTTGCACAGCAGAATTCCCTGGCCCTCTAATCTCCTTCCCCTCATCGAACCCTTCCTGTGAATAATAAAGTTCAAGTCACTTCTTGAGAAAAATTTCTGACAGAAAATGAGCATGAGGATGCTACAAAGTCCGCAGAAAGAAAACCCGTAGCAGGGTGGTCAGATGTCAAGCCCCATTTTACCCCTCAGCTCGTCCAAGGAACATTCAGCGTTTAGACCCTCCCCCTGCCTCACACAGCACATGGAAGGCTCCAGTCATTGAGTGACTGGCGGCCAGATGACACATGGTACCTCTCAGGGGCAGAACGTTGAAAAGCATGGAAATAAAACTTGCCTATTATTTCCATATGCATTTAGTATTTGGTGTTTGACAATGGAGAAAAAAAGCCCCCAAGTGATGACTGAATACAAACATCTCCAATTCACTCTATGACATTCACTTCCGTTTTCCTGCTACATAGTGTATTCTGTGAAGAAAAATGGTGTTATTAAGAACATGTGAAAAATTCTTCTCAGAGAGCTCAGTTTTCAGACACAGATAAATGACGCTTACAGAATGGATGTGCATCTTTCTTCAGAATGGGGTTCCCCTAGGATATTTGATTGAATATGAATAGGCATGTGCTAAACTGAGACGTGGCTTCCCACACAAACGATGCAATAAACACACCCACTATTCATTTCATGCACCCACCAAAGGCATTATTTGTCATAAAAATACAAGGCTTCCAACCAAGCTCTTGGACAGGTAAACCATCAGTATTCGAACCACACACGCTTGCTACGATAGAAGCCATGCTAGAGTCTAGAATTCGTGTCTGGCTTTTCTTTCTTAAGGCTTGGAACACGATGTATTCACATCCTGATGAATGATTTTATTGAAAAGAAATTTCGGGGAGCAGAGCAGTGTCATGGGATCATGCTGGCCATGGGACTGACTGCAGGCGCGTGAATCGTCTTCTCCCTGTGTGCAGGGTTTTTCTCTTCGTGCCAATTTCCCTCCTCAGGGATCCCGTCTCTCCTTCTTTCAAAGTCTGTCCTCAGAGAAACGATCTGGAACTTCTGAGGTAGAATTGATGCGATCTCCTCCTTGAAATTGCCTCCCTGCTGAAACAATGAAACTCTAACAATGGAATTTCATGCGGGAGAATGGGGTTATTTGGGGGGCAGGGGATTAGGAATTCTTACCGCGGATGCTCTTGAAAGCGTCTACGTCAATGACTCAGACCTTTTACGACCACAAAATTTAAGAATCAGGTTCAGTACACAGCTCTCTGTTCTCCACCATTCAAACACCATTGTGTACCCTGGAACAGACAAGACCTTTTATGAGGGCAATCTGTCGCTGACACAGGCAGCAATGTGGATTCTACACATCTTGTGGTTTTTTATCTTTGCAGAAGCCTGTGATGTTCAGTTCCAGCTTTGAGTTTCTGATTTAGTCATTGTTGACCCAACACAGTCGTCACAATTAGGAACAGTGTTAGGACACACCTCCCTCAAACTTCCATGCCATCTCCCTTGCTTGCCTTACTTAAAACAAAACAAAATGAAAAGAACATTGCCAACTTTCATCCTGTCCAGGGCCTCCTTCTGACCTGTTCGCATGAGACGATGTGGCGTCTATCTTCCCTCTTTAACGGGCATCACTGTTTCTTTCAGGATGAATAAGCAAGGAGTTGGACATCAAGTTTTTAGAAATTACACTCCATAGGGATTATATGTCATTTTTTATGTTTATGAAGCTGCTGCTAGGCTCACAATAACATTTTTTATACTTTACTTTTCATGGGATTGAAGGCTTACAATTCCTAATTCTTTTCTCCCCTCCTTGTTAACAAAATAATTGATACATCACATTTATTCCTCTGTCAAAACCCCGACTAAACAAGATTTAGTGGAATTCAGGAGTAATTCCATCTATTTTTGGAAACATTATGAGGTTTCATAAAGGTTTTTGTCTCCTAAATATTTCCAATTTTTCTTGCCTAAAATTCCTTTTTTTAAAATTTTGATACAGGGTCTTGCTGGAGTGCAGTGGCAAGATCATAGCTCACTGAAATCTCAAACTCCTGGGCTAAAGCTATCTCCCACCTCAGCCTCCCAAGTAACTGGGGCCAAAGGCACGTGCCACCATGCCCAGCTAATTTTAAACTTTTTTTTCAGAGATGGGGGTCTTGCTATGCCACCCTGGCTGGTCTCAAACTCCTAGCTTCAAGCCATCCTTCCATCTCACCCTACCGAATTTGTGTGGGAAGCCACGTCTCAGGGTGGGATCACAGGTGTTAGCCACCTTGCTTGGCCTGGCCTAAAATTCTAGAGTTACTTATTTCTTGCATCCTTACACTTTTGATAAAAATATACGGTGCTGGGGCCTGGCATGGTGGAGGCTGAGGTGGGTGGGTCACCTGAGGTCAGGAGTTTAAGACCATCCTGGCCAATGTGGTAAAACCCCGCTTCTACTAAAAATACAAAAATTAACTGGGCATGGTGGCGGGCACCTGTACTTGCAGCTACTCAGGAGGCTGAGGCAGAAGAATCGCTTGAACCCAGGAGGTGGAGGTTGCAGTGAGTCAAGATCGTGCCATTGCACTCCAGCCTGGGTGACAAGAGTGAAACTCTGTCTCAAAAACAAATAAAAAACTATATATATATATGTATATGTGTGTATATATGTGTATATACATATATATAGTGAGAGGAAGAGGGAAGATCCTGGGAGGGAATGGCTAGCTGCCTAACTTTATCCCTTTGGTCATTAGAACTCTAATGGCTTCCTCATGCCTGGAGAGGTGGTGTGAGTGTGTCCATGGTGCTGGTTTTGGAGTGCAGGGGTCAGTCTGGATCCTGTCCCAGATCTTCAGCTTCCCACCTTTGTCACCTTTAGCAGGTACTTGGACTCTGTGATTCCCCAGTTGCACCGCTTTTCAAATGGAGAAAATCCAACTACCTCAGAGGATTGTTGCAAGGAGAATCTGTGCAGTGCCCTGGGTCCAGTGCCTCCGTAAGTCTGGTCCCTGTAAATGCTTCCTTTAGTGCCTGTCCTAGGGCTGGAAGTGAGGTCACGCGAATTTCCATCCTGGTGAACTGACCATCTGCCTGGGTATGGTGGATCACTTTATGTCTTCCTGGGGTACATGGAGGGAGGGTTGTGCTCTCAGGAAGCCCTCTTCAACCTTCAGGGCTCCAGGCCATGTTTCCTTCCTTCCCTGCCTGGCTGCGTCTCTGGCCTGTGAATCTTTTCCCTGCACCTGCCTGTGCACCTGCTGATCTTCCGTGTAACTTCCCGCCTGCCCTCAGCCCACACTCCTCCTCCTGATGTTCAAACCAATCCCACTGCCTCGTCAACGTCATCTCACCCCTTAAAGCTTTCTCTGTCTCTTTTGATTTCTCTCTTTGGTTGACGTGTATACATCAGGCAAAGCTGATAGGACTGGAAAATCTAATTTTCCCCACAATAGAGCATCATATGGGCAACTGAGACCAACACTGCAGTTTTCACTGTATGGTACTAACTGGAATGGGTCTTCCTTCTTGCCACCTCCCCCCAGTGCTGGAGGTCCCTGTGGGCTTGGGCTCACCCTCGGCTCTCCCTGTTCCTTGCAGCTGTCATCAGCTGCCAGCTGTTAACTCCCATATTATAGGATACAGCAATGTTGCAGTCTTCTTTAGATTCCCTATTAAAATCTGGTAAAACTTCTTTTTACTTTGGCTTCTGTCTCTGGATTCTAAGATAAAATCTTGTGGTACCTTACCCTATATGCTGCTTGTTTTGACATTTTCCCTCATCTGTTACACAATTGAAGTTCCTTCCCCTCTCTTGGATATGCAGGGAGAAGTCTCCTATCTCTCACCGGCCATCTTTCCTTTTCTTGTCTTTTTTCCTTGTTTAGATTTATCATAATTACCTGTATTTATGTGCTTGATTTTTAAAAGTTGCAACTTTTCAGCAACATCAAAGCAGGTGGGTAGGAGTCTGTCAAGTCCACAAAAGGAACAGGCATTCCAGTCCCAGACGAAGGGATCCCAGTCAGAATTGGGGGTGCATCCCTGCTATTAATTACATATGGTTTCATCCTGGACAAGTGATTTGATTTTGGAGTTGTCATTTCCCATAAAATCTTTTTTGTGTCTATCCTGGGAAGAATAAATGAGATAACATAAAAATACAAGTCGGTAAGCTCAAATATGAATTTGAATGCAGACTATTATAATTATCACAAAGGAAATTGGAGATAGGGTATTAGGTGCTACAGCAAAGGCTGAGGAGACCCTGAGGAATTTACTTCTAAACAACAAAGTCTGGTTACAACAGAAAACCTCCTTGCCTGAGTCTTTATTCTGGCTGCTGGACTCAGATGGCGAGTGAGGAACACTGGACTCTAGACGGTCGAAGAGCTCATGCCCTGCAGCTGAGGTGTGGGATTGTCGAGTGACTGTTCCAGCTTTCTCACCCTGGGGCATTTTCTTTATTCTCCTGAGTTCTCCAGGGGATCTGAGCTGGGCTGCGCACCACAGTGGCTGGTTTGATCACACACCTTTTCTTGGTCTCCTTCCTTTCCCGCTCTCATTTCTCCACTTCCCTGCTGGTGTTTCCTGGGATCACCTTGCAAATAAATCCCAGTCAAATCCCTGCCTCCGTGACTACCAAGTCAGGGCTCTGAGTCTCCCTAAAGACATTAATCTCCTAAAAGAAAATAATCCCATGACATCCAGACTGCGAAGTGAGCCAAAGGTTCCTGGTTGCTATTATTTTTCTAAAGAGTGTGAAGGCTCTTTATATTAACGTTTGCCTGTTGTTCTTTTACACAAGAGGAAGGATTAATGGACAACCAGGAGCTCTTAGGCCTGTGAGCGGCCCATCAGAATTCCCAGGCAGTGAGCTGGGAAAGAAAATGTGTAAGCTGAATAATGGTCCCACAAAAGATATCCATGCTTCAATCCCTAGAACCTCTGGAAGTTACTTTATATGGTGGGGTTCCCAACCCCTGGGCCACAGACCAGTGTCAGTCCATGATCTGTTAGGAACTGAGCTGCACAGCATGGGATGAGTGGCTTGCATGAGGTGAGTGAGCATGCATTTCCACCTGAGCTCCGCCTCCTCTCAGATCAGGGATAGCATTAGATTCTCATAGGAGCCAGAGCCCTGTTGTGAACTGCACATGCCAGGGATCTAGGTTGCATGCTCCTTATGAGAATCTAACTAACGTCTGATGATCTGAGGTGGAACAGTCCCCATCCTCTGGGAAGACTTTAGTGAAAGATAATTTTTTGCATTGTCTTCCATGAAACCAGTCTCTGGTGCCAAAAGGGTTGGGGACAACTGGTATATGGGACAGAGGGGCTTTATAGATGTCATTAATTTAAGGGTTTTGAGATGAGGAGATTATCTTGGATTATTCAAGTGGACTCTAAATGCAATCACCTAGATCTTTATCAGAGGAAAGCAGAGAAGGCAGCAACGTGTCTATAGAGTCAGAGAGTTGGTGGTGGGGCCACAAGCCAAAGAATGCAGGCAGCTCCCAGAAGCGGGAAGAGATAGGGATGGGTTCCTCCCTGGAGCCTCTGGAGGGAGTGCAGCCCTATCATAACTGCATTTCAGCCAAATAGTACTGCTTTCAGAGTTCTGATCTCTATGAATGTAAGAAAATAAATTTCTGTTGTTTAAAGCCACCAAGTTTGTGGGAATTTGTGACAACAGGAAACTAATGCAGAGGGTAAGTGAGGACAGAAAGAGGAAAGGAGCATGGGGCTGCAGCCTGGCCTAGATGGAGCCTATTTCCTATCTCTGAGCCATCTCAAAAGCCAAGCCTCATCCCACAGCTTGCATGCCTGTAAAAATGGTAGCACACCACCTGATATGAAGCTCATTATTTCTTTGGCCATTTCTGACCATCCCTAATCTTCTCTACATTGAGGTAAAATAGGTTTCCTAGAAACTGTTGACCATCAGTTATTATCCCCAGAATTGTCAAAAGTCAGAACTGAAAAGGACTTTCTAGACGTCATCTTCTGATGTTTTCCAAATTGCAGAACTATTAGTGGAATATAAAAATCCATTTAGTAGGGTACAACCAACATTTTACCAAAAGGAGATAAAAAAGAGTATCAGAATGCATAAACTGTAGCAAGGAAGCATTTTGTTTTGTAAAATTTTGTTATATATATATACACACACACATATATATATATACACCAAAATTGTGTGTGTGTGTGTGTGTGTGTGTGTGTGTGTGTGCTGGGTTTCAAGGCAAACTTTATTTTTTGCTATGAGTAATTTTAGAAACTTAAAAAACACTGATGTTGTTTACCTCCTTATTTTGCAGATGAGATAAATTACACCCAGAAAAGTAAAATGACTTGCTTAAGATCCCCCAGCTGGCCAAAGGAAGAGTCCAGCTGGAATTTTCTTGACCTACATTTAGTGCTT